ATATAATATGAATGCATTTCATCTGAAGAAACCTAATTGAAATCCAAATTGTCTGACTCAATCTATGGGTAACTGATTGCTTTACCTGTTTGAAGAAGCGAATTTCCATTTTTTGTCTCCTTCGTTGAGCGGAATCTCTGTGAATACCGTTGGATTTGTGAAGCTGCATACTCTTAAGCAACAAATTTTCAAATCGTTGTCAAATTAAGTTGTGCATCGCAACTTCACAGTTGCAAAAACGTAAACGAAAAATTCCATCGTAAACGAAAGAAAACCATTGAAAACTCCATCGTAAACGAAAGATATTTATTCTTTAATGCATTCACGGAGCTCCGTCATAAGGAGGGAATTTGAGCCATTTGGTTTCGAGGTCACATGGCTCGTCTAATGGTGGCCTCTAGATAAAACAAACGCGCACTAAAACGACTAAATGCTTCTAGTAATCAATCCTTTTTAACAACGTCTTTTTACCCTCATATTGAATTGAATTATACCTAGCGCGGACAGGAAGAGATCTGAACAAATCAAAAATCACCAGTTTTCATGTACATAGCTTTTCAAAAGTTATCTTTCAGAACGCAGTTCCTATATTCGAAGAAAAATCAATAAGAACCTGTGGTATTTTGGAAACGGACACCATCACGTCATCGGCAAATGACCTCCAGTATGATTACGCTCTGTCGTCCATAAAACCTACATTCGAATCTCCCTAATACGATCGACAGAACAGTGAAAAAGGACAGTGGTGTAAAAAAAAGATTTGGAAGGGATGCTTTACTATACACTACATCCACTGGGTACCAAGATTCGCTGAGGTATCGAGAGATTACAGGGCACCCCTCCGTCTTAGTTTCTTCGATCGAAGAACGAATGCGAGAAAAGCCTTGAAGCTGTGAACATTAAGGATGTCGTTAGTAACTGCTGTGAGATGTGAACATAAAAATGGTGACATATAAGCAAAATGGAAGTAAGGGACTCGGAACTCTGCCACCTTTTGCTATAACGCGTGCGTCCAACGTTTGGGGATTCAAACACTGCCGATGAAAAGGACAGAGAGAGAGAAAGAGAGAGAGAGAGAGAGAGAGAGAGAGAGAGAGAGAGAGAGAGAGAGAGAGAGAAAGAGCTTCTCAATAGTGTAGTGCGAACGAGCACGTCTCTTGAAGTGTAGTCGCTGTACGAATGCATCACACATACATCATGTTTGAAGTTTTGCTAGTAACTCAGAATTCTTGTGCTCCAACAGAGTTCAATAATGGTAATAAAACTAATCGATATACTACTAACCGTGTGTTTTACTCTGAGGCAGATTAAGGTGGTGCAGTCGAGAAGAAAAATTAGGACTAGAATGCCCAGCATGCTATAGAACTCTATGAAGACATCCATGATATAACCGCACGTTGTACGGGGGACGATATACGACCATGTCACTGTATCGAAAATGTGGAAGCAGCTTTTGGCTGAACGAATAACAGCATAAAATGTGAATTTACAGAATGCTTGAATTCGAGTCGTGCACATATTATAACTCGAAAAGACTAACTGTGGTGTAATATATATTGCCACGGAGGCTTGTGCTTGCACTCATTTTGATTGTTATGCAAAATACTCCGCCGCTTATGTGGTTCGAAATTTTCTCATGCGCGTTTCATAAAGGATAGTGCGTTAAAGGGACTCAGTGAGGTTGGTTTATTACTGCAGTGCAATATTATCGAATTTCAGTGCCAGCGTATCTCGTATCAATCTGATACATAAGATTGCATACGGACTGGCTGCGATGCGTGCTATCTGTTATATGAACGACTGCTTAGGATCTGTTGTCGTCAAAAGTCAGTCTTCTTTATGACGGCAATGGATCACCTCTGCATGATAAAAAGTGATACTGTCGAGTGGTAGTTCTTATTCCTGCAATATCCACCTCACTGAACTGAAGTGAATGTGACGATGAACATCTACATTGTGAAGCAATCCCTACAGACCTTCATCTCGATTCGGATCGACTCTGACAAAGAGGAATACCTTAAAACACTACCAAAATGAATATTTTATCCCAACTTCGTTTTAGCTCAATATTACAGAAAAAATAGTGATTATTGTTGCCGATTTCCAATGGAAGTCAGTTATAAATTGTAAAAACACATAATGTCAAACTCACTCCAAAAATGTGGTATTACATGGATGAAACCGAGTATCCAGCAAATCAAAACGGCGAAAGCGGTATTATTAACAGTTAGTACAACGGAAGCTTGCAAAGGGAAAACTATGGAAATCATTCTGTTCAAAGCGATGGCGAGATGAGAACAGACCCCCACATTCCACAGTACGAGAATCACCGAACCAAGCACTTTGCCTATCAGCTCCGCAGATAGCTCGCTTCCACTGAAAGTAACGAGGTTTTCCTTTCTTTTGAATTGATAGAATATTCATGGGATTGCTCCCCATGCTCAAACCAGTGCTTATTATTCTGTTCCTTGTGAATAAGAAGTGTCACACTTTTTGAAAGTTTCTTAGCAAAGAGAAAAATGAGAAATCAACAGCAATAATTATTTGAAGCGGAAGGCTTCTGATCATGTGGTCAGCTCTCCTACTAGGGAAATAATGCTGCAGAGAGTTCCACTACTAATCTGCAATAGGTCGAGGGACTTATTTGCAGGAGATTCTAAGTAACGCCGCTGAAACGCCACTATTCTTTTTTTGAAATTCTGTACCCTTAAAAATGCTATAAGCTCTGAAACCATAGACAGATCTTATGCTTGGTGGCTGAACATTTTCAATGCATAAATTGCTACTCAATACTTGATATCAACGAAAAAAACGTGGTTTTGTCTGATTGGTAGGAAACAAATGAAAAACCGATTTCATCCGCTGAAAAGGAACTTTTCTTAGGAATTCTGGTAACGAATCGAAATCTGAGACGAGGCTACAGCCCCACGTCGCCAGTTTTTTAGAACATCCCTTTATAATGCTGTAACATTTAAAATAAAATCATGTTTCATAAAACCACGTGCTGTTTACTTTTATCTCGCTTATATTTCACTAAACAAACTCGTTTCGCGGAGTTATGGCACGAGCTTCAGAGAACTCAAATATATGTTTGCCTTTCAAGAAGCTCTTCTGAACAATTGATCTCTTGCAGTCTTTTTGTGCTTTAAACCTTGTTAGACAGAGCTCTTTCTTCAGACTATTAGTAATCATCTGATAGAGCAATTACTCCTGATTCTAGCAATGTGCTTATTTTTTGGAAATACGGTTTAAGAGGGAAAATAAGATCGAGTTTTACATTCCTGGCAACGTTGTTTACTGGCTATACGACAGGGCGAGGGCCGTAATGGGGGGGGGGGGTGGCTAAAGCGGAGCTAGGCGGGGCGGTCGATATATTGTTATTCAATTAGGAATCTTTATTTCGATTTGAAAGAAACTTCAGGTAAAGCCATTGAGTAGATACTACGAAAATTTCTCTACACATAGATATGCTTTTCGGCTTCCAATGAGTTATATGCGCAATAAAAATAAAGACGAAAGGCGAGTGTGAAACATGATTTTTAATCTGGATACTACAGTGTTAAGAAGGAATGTTTTGAGAATCCGGCAACGTAGGGCTGTAGTAAGCTAAGTACTGACTTAGTAACCATACGAAAGAGCCTCAAGTCTTATCTTTCGTATGGTTACTAACTTTCCTATGTAAAGTTCCTCTCCAGCGAATGAGATTGGCTTTTCATTTGTTCCCTTTTGAGCAGAAATAACCAAAAACACTTCGTTTAAGGTCAACAAGTGCACTCTTCTGCCTACAATGTTAGCATTAAGGTTAAAAGAATCTTCAAATAAAAATAGTGCTTCGAAATGGAATTTCACTCTGCCTTCAAAAGGTTTCTTTCATGACGATGTGTTTCCTCGGCTTAGCAAAGGATTTGTCCAGTGCTAATCTAGCTCATCCGCGAAAGCGTTTCCTGCCTATTAGGCTTACCAACTGTAGAAAGATCTACTACTACTTCTGTCTCAATCTGGAGAAAGACTAATCACTGCAAGCGGTTTTATCAATTTACTTAATGCAGGTAAACATGTAATCGTATAATCTATCATTGTTTTTGAACGAATTGTATATAAACAGTCGAAAGTGATGTTACTGTAAGTTTTGCAAAAAACCACCTTCAAGTTGATTAGTTGCAACTAATTGTGGAAACGTTCTGGCAATTAGTATCTCTGAAACTCACAATAAAGTCACAGGTGCAGTCCAAAAAGTAAAGACAAACAGAAAACCCATATTGGCTATGGTGTGAGAGAAGCACAGCAGGCCGAACGAATTTCGCAGTGCTGGATTGTATCGAACTACTAGTATAGCTGTGCCGTTTGAGACCAAACCAAACACTCCTACCTGAAAGTCACACACTTTCTTTTGTTCCTTCCAAACAGCAGACTTTTCAACTTGATTTTTGTCCGACGCAGTGGAAAAGCAAAGTTGTTCTAGATTCCACAGACCGATAGAGTACAAATAGTTTTTGCAATGACTTATTGCAAAGCTCTTTTCTCTTTATTAAACATTAATTCTTACTGACATTAACGCACTCGCGTAGAAATGCTGGACATGTCGCATTTAATTGAACGGTCGTAGAAGGGAGTAACGCATTTTGCAAATTCAACACTATTTATTGAATATTTGAAGTTCCTAAGTGGGCGATTTTTCCTATGAAATATAAAATAACACCTTGTGACTCACCACGGCCATGATCACCGACACCGCAATGTTCTCTGGGTGAACATAAAAGGAGGTGGTGGAGAGACTTTCCATCTGGAAAATGTGCCGCTTTCTTCACAATGAAAATCAGTACGCTGTAGAGAAACCCAGCCGAATACAAGAGTAAAACGAACGGCAATAGTCATTCTCACTCCTATCGCCAGTTGTTTAGAATACAATTGTGAAAAACAAAATAACTTCAATTTACCCGCTTTTGCGTTTCTATGATGTTGTAACATACGCACTGATGTAAAGTGAAATGCAGAACTTTTGCACTAAGCGGGACTCGAACCCGCACCCCACTCCATTCAGGAGCGCGTGCTTTAACCTGATGCACTACTAATCCCCGTTTTCCATCATTCCTTCCACGTTAGAGCGGGTTATAGCGCTTGCTCCCGGATAGAGTGAGGTGCGAGTTATAGTCCCAGATGATGCGAAAGTTTTGCGCATCGCTCTACATCAATGGTTATATTACAATATCATACCACCGGCGAAAGTGTTTAGATAATAACTTTTCTGTTTGATTATCAATACTCAATATCTGTCAGCGTGACTGGGTTCAATGTCGATAGCGGCTACCCGGGTCAGACGGTTGATGGTCGGTTGCTGACAGATAGATGCTTTGTCGCGTAGAAAGAGTGATGTCTAAACTGGCCTTTGTAATGTAAAGCATTAGAGCACGCGCTCGCTGGTAGAGTGAGGTTTGGGTGCAAGTTGCGCCTAACACGTAAGTTTTGCACATCATTCTACATCAGTTCGTAGTTTATGCAGAAGAAGTTAAGCCAATATCGATAATGGGCTAGATAAGCCAAACTCACCGTTTGAGGAGGACTGGCCTTCCCTAACGTTGCGTGCTTCCTACTAGAATTGGGAACAACCATCTCACCAGCAGAACCCATTTTCAAAGACATTTTGCGAAGTATCATATGCAGTTTACACGAGCTTTAAGATCAGCTCCGTTACAAATCTGGGCTAAATTTGTGTAATAAACATGGACAAGAATTACAGCGCTTCCATTTTTTTGAGCATTCTTCAAACCATAAGGTCTCTGATAGTGAAACAAACTTCAACTTTCTCATTTTGCGAGCAAAACTCTTTGAATTCTAGCTCAAAAGGGTCAGTTTCGACCTTACAACAGCTCCTGAAAGTCGTGTGCGACAAGTTCACGAATTGAAATCAAAATCTGTAGGGCTATTATTTCTTGATAAGGACAGATAGTTTCTAGTGATTCCACATCAGTTGGATGTTGAAATAACGGGAAAATATCTTGAAGACACATCCATCATTTGAAAAGAAGTCCAAAAGTCAATACAAAAAAATTGAACAGAGTTGTTAAGTGACAAATTTGCTCAGTTTAGTACCATGTACCTCTTTTACTCCAAATCGACCTACTATTGTGCTCAGCTTTATACTTAATCATCAAAACTTGTAATTTAGTATCCACTTATGATTCTGCTCCCACCAACACCTTAGAGTCCAACTTCAAACCCATCATCAGCTGTGCAGAGTGGTTTCGGAGAGATTAACGTTGTATATAAATCTTGTACTGATCCATTTGTAAAAAACACATCAAAGACCAGCTCGCAAACACTCGTACGTTCCTGTACCGTCTACGTAATGTGTTTCCCAACAGCGTGTAAATGATACAGTCTTGACTAATTGTACTTTATGCAAAAGTGTCGAATGACTCTACAAAACAAGCCATCTGCGAGCTCCCAAAGAGAGCATAATCTAAACATGTAAGGCTTTTTGATTCGGAAGTTATGGTCCCATAAAAGAGTTCCCAAACTGCTCAATCTTTATATGATCCGGGAATTATTTTACACAAATAAGAGGGCTGGCAATGGAAAAGCGACTGGACGTAGTCTTTGCAATAGCCTGATGCCCAAGGTGGAAGTCCCACTGTTTGATCAGCGGCCATTACTTTACTGTGGATATAAAGATGAGCGTTATGCCATCTGCTCTACGCAAGGGGATATGTGAAAACGTTTCGATTATTAAATGTACATGGAATTCCCAAAAGAAACCAAAAGCAAATTGGCTTCCATTTCTAGGTCCAAGTCGACAGGTCCCAAGCGCCTACAAGTGGTACCGAAAACTAGTAATAAAAAACATCTTGGTTCATCACCTACCCCCTCATCCATCACACACAAAACGCACCCCACACCACAAAAATTTATATTGAACAGTTACCACTACCTGAACTGGAGGAGAACATAAGGAAGAATCTATAATCTCGACAGGGAAGCCGTTACTGATGGCTACGAAACAGCGAGAGCTCTGCCAGGTTGGAGAGGAAAGACGACGTCTCGGACGATAAGTCTATCAAAGATGAGGTCCCGTTCTCTACAACTATCAAACATTGCTCAAGAATGGCAGATTTGGACAACTCGCTAACAGGAATTGAAACACATCCAAACACTCTAAGGTGTCAACTGGTCCATAATCTGATGTATGACCGTCTCAGCTGAAGGGCAGCTGCACAGATAGCCTTAACGATAAAGACGGCGATCGCACGAGTTTTTACGGTATACCTAATTTCTCTTAAGGAATGCGGATCGATTACCTTGACTAAATGCTTCGACCACCCTTCGTCCATAAAAAAGACACCTGGGTTGAAAATTGGATGCTTAACAAAAGACTTTATCAGGCACACATATGAAGCAAGAACATGATAAAGGGATTTTTGTGTAGAAGTCACTGAAAAAATTCTCGAATCCTTTGCATAATTCTTTTATAAATTCCAAAAAACCAGCAGCAGAAGCAGTGCCTCGTGAATACGCGTCACCTCACAGAAAGCCTCGGGTTAGTATTTCTAACTTCAGTATAGCCATTCTTATCCGATGCAATAATGTGAGCGGTTTGTATCCAATGATAATTATTGCGTCGACTCAAAAACAACTTAGTGGTGAGCGTGAGAAAAGTTTTTATTAAGCGTCAAAACATTTGTTTATTAATTCTTTCCGCAGTGATTATGGAAATATCTTCTTGAGATTGAGTTGTTTGACTTTTCCAAGCTCTGACGAAGACGAAAGGGCGAAAATGTCGCCCGTTAACCATTATTTTATTCTACTGTCTCGTATCAAAGGAATCTCAAGGTTAACCTTAAATGTGCTCATCAAAAAGAACACTGAATAATCAGTTCTTCTTTGAGGCGACTCATAGAGGTAAAAGAACACTGAATAATCAGTTCTTCTTTGAGGCGACTCATAGAGGTATAGCATAGGTTTCATTGGGTTAACTATGCATTAAGTGTTGTATTCTTCAGCTCAAAAAAACCAAGTTTTCCAGCGTTGATTAATCCCTGTAGGATGGGTCTTGTCTTCGCCTTCATCTAGCATCGTTTGAGGTGACTAAATGCATCTGGCCTTTACAGTGATTTGAAGTACACTACCGATGTATCGAGTCAGTGCTGCTAGCCTCGCAAATAAGTCAAATCCCAATAGTTAACTGTTCTAGGAGGGAATAGAAAGCTTGGTGAGAGTTGAGCGCCGGGTCGAGTTATTGACCATCGACAAACCACGTGTGTGTGTGGCTGTGGACCTCTAACCACTGGGCCATTCAACTGCAAAACAAGAACTAAAAATTCTCAAAGGCTCTGCTTTCGCTGCAGTTTTTCTTCTTTTTTCAAAGTAATAGGTGAACCAAGTTAACAAAAAGTGGCATGATAAGAATATAACCGACGATTTCCAATTGAAGGCACATTTTGAGATCGTATATTATCTAGCTAAAGTAGTGATAAACGAAATAAGCTATCAGATACAAGAATGAATTCTACTGGCTTAGTTTATATCATAATATTTTTGAAGAATTCATTTGAATACGTATGATGAAATACAATATCTCAACTCTGTTTACTGCCTAATCGCCTTCGTAGTAATGCACAATCTGAAATACAATCAACAAGAATGCTGAGAAGCGAGCAGATTTCGTAAAAGCAGATAGGTTTCGAACCTGTGAAATAACTTTAGAAGAATCGCGCTATAACCGATACACTAATCAGGGCTGTCGCTTTGACTTTTCTTTCTTTTTATTTGAAATACAACAGTTTAATCCTTTTCAAACAATGTGCTCCAATTCTTGTCAATAGGCTTTTTCATCGTGAATAATCAATAAGTTTGTCTGGATAGCACCAGATTCAAAAGACAGCCGTAAGGTAATAGTACATGAAGGACGTTTGTGGCAAGTCGTTCGAAGTGCCTTGCAGCACACTTGGTCGTTGCTCCATTCCACTTCGCAGGTTCACCAAACCTTATATCTCTCCAAGGTTAGCGAACTGGTACCATACCTGCCTAAGATATACATATACGGATAGCAGTACGGCTTGGTGCATCGGTAGCCTACGCAAGCTCTTGTGAAGGACACGCATTCAACCTCCTTCAGCGATGCTTGGTGAAGCCGGATGCATAGCGCATACTACGGAAATTCTTGAAATTTATAGTTCAGTGTGGAGCTGAACCACTGATAAAGCGAACTACACCGCTGAAACGTACGTACGACTTTGGCGTACCAGACTCGAAGAGGCTCTAAACATTTTCGCAGACAAAAAGACGGGTTTTCATAGGAACATAGCATATTATTTATACTGAAGAAGTGCGAGCTTTCAGATGACTACTGAAACCTTGCGAAAAAATTGTGCTCCTCGAAAAAGGTTTTCAACAATCGTGAACCAACACAGACGCGCGCCGTGCCGAACGTGTTAACATTCTCGCAAGTAATACGGACTAATCTCTATTTTTGTATTCTTGCAAAAGCCCACATAAAAGGTGTTTGACTAAAAAAGAACAAATTCACTTGGACCACAATACCCTCTTATTTCAGCGGATAAGTTGAGACTAAGAAAACTGATTTGTGAAGATTACTTGTTTCCGCAGATCTCAATGAATAAGTTGAGATCACAAGGTCAAGCTAGAGTTTCACTTGTGAATTTCATTTGAAGTCGAAGTTTTTAAAGCTTTTGTAACGATGTGTACAGTGGACCTCCTATCTCATCATTTTCTAGCTATCGCTTAGGTCATGAATTATTCGCCTTCTTACATATGTCTGAAGCAGTGCACCTAAGAACTTTACATAACGTTGCAACTAGTTAGTGAGATGTAGGTAAGAGCCAGTATGTTTCAACTTAGGAGCACATGTGGCGCAGTAATCAGAGGCGCTCTGCATTGCACACAAGGTTAGTGGTTGAATCTCGTTCTCATGGCTCACCAAGCCATCTATTAATCCGGAGTTGGTGAACAGATGCCACACTTTTACCAATAATTTGGGAGGATAGATAGCACTGACGATACAGCAGTAGACCACCGCGAGTTATAGTAAAAGTCAGGTATGTAATCAATAACCTCAAAA